CAGCAGCAAAGAAGGGGAGAAGGCAAATAATCGAGGAATTACATTTTGGGTTGAAAGCAGAGGTTTTTGGTTAACCTATTTACTTTCAGTTTCATCATTTCCTGAGCGTCCTAATTTAGCCTCTGGTTGTGTCCTCTCGATTATGGCCTAAAAAGGCAACTGCTTGGGTTTCTTGGAGTTGGACTGGCACCCACAGGAAGCCGCATGGGAAGGGCCTGGAAGGGCCTGCCTCAGCCTGATCTGATTCGCAATGGGAGAGAGCTGCCTTCTCTCTCCTTAACTCCTTGCTGGCTGGCCAAGCCCCCCAACCCCTCCCCATTCCCAGGACTTCCTGAGGGCCCCTAATCTCAGCCACCAAGGCCTTTCCTGCAGAGAGTTTTCTAAGTGCTGGTGTGGCTGCTGCTCCAGTGCCCTAAAAATGTCCAGATTATTTTGATCCAGTAATTCTGGCAATTTATCTCAAGATGGTCCACTATATAAGAGGAAAAAATCTAGTAGGTAAAAATCTAGTAGGTAAAAATCACATTGGAATATTATGTAGCCGTTAAAAGTGGCCATGGAGTTAGGAGTCCAGGGTTTGAGTTCTGGCTCCCCCAGCTCTGTGACGAATGCAGGTACTTTTTTTCTCTTGGAGCCTCTGCACCATCACCTGTAAAATGAAAAATTTTGATAAAAATGATCAACAAGCAGACTGTGGCCCTCTGGGGAAATGGTCCCAGGAAGTAGGGAAAATACCAAATGTGAACTTCACTCTTTGCCTAAGATAGTTAAAAATCAAGTGTTATTGTGGACCAGGACTAGAAGGAACCATTAAATAAAAAGAGAGAGAGAAAACGGATTTATTTTAAAAAAGAGAGAGAAAACTGAATTTTGGAGGGAAAGGGTTGGAATTTAGGGAGATAGTTTTTATTTTATTTTGAAAACCTTTATATTACATTCAGTTTGTTTGTTTTAATTTCAAAGTGACTTTGTAGCAGGGTCCCAGGGTGGGGCAGGATAGTGGCTGCATGCTGGCTGCTGCACTGAGTAGACTGCCTCCTTGTACCCTTTCTCTAGTGCCCCTCCTTCCAGTTCTAACACCTCTTGACAGGGGTGGCTCACTCCGTTTGCATCCTTAGAGGTGAGGTGAGTGGTAACCTGTCTGTAACCCTGCTTCCCCACTGGGCACACAGACTCAGCAGCTGCCGGGGCCTGGGCGCCTCTTTACCGTACACAGCGGTGGAGCTCAGCGGCAGCCCTGTGGCCTCCAAATCCTTGAATGTGATGTTCCTTTCCGGGCTGGGTGGGAGGGCTTTAACTGCAACCCCACTGTTTATCGTGACCTCTGTGGTCCTGCCCACCAGGCCAGCCCGCCTATTGATCTTGGCACTGCGTCTCCCCCGCGTCATTCCAGCAGAATTGCTGAAACCAGATAGCTCTGTCCTTGGCATGGCCCAGCAGGGCCCAGCCGTGTTTAATGAAAAGTTATGCCCAGAGAGGGGCACGGAGGCGAGTGGGCACTCCTCAAGCCCACCATTCGTGGGTGCCTTGGCACCACGGCCCTCGGTGTTGGTCCCGCTCTGAGGGAAAGCAGTCTCCCTCCGTTCAGGAGCTGTGGCCTGGCCCCTAAGTCTCTGATAGATATGGGAGGTAGACAGTGGTGGCCTGTAACTGCCCCTTCCCCCTTTCTGAGGGCTGAAGGTCGGGTCGAACGACCAGCCCAGGGCGGTGGGTTGGATGGATTTCCCCCGCCTCCTGCGCTTTATGGCCCTCCAGCACAGACCCACCAATGAAAGGGCCGGGCAGTCTACCTGATGTCCAGGGTAGGCCGAGTGCCCAGGCCTGCAGCCTGAAGCCAGCCCAGGCACTGCTGTGATGCCAGGCCTCCAGATAAGTTGTTTGCTGTTAGCCCCACCGGGGTGGTGTTGCTGGGATGAAAGGGAGTTTGATGAGGGCCAGTCATTTGGCCATCACTGATGGGCTGTTTGGGTCAGCTCACAGGCCAGGGGAGTGAGAATATTGACTTTTAATGTGCTCTGCTTTTTTTTTATTTTTTAAATCCTGGAGGATATTTTTCCCATGGCTTTTTAGAGCCAGTTGAAGGGAAGGCGGGGAGGGGAAAGGGAGAAACATTATTGTGAGACACATCGACTGGTTGCCTCCTGCAGGAGCACCAACCAGGCTGTGGATCGAACCTGACTGGGAATTGAACCATGACCCTTCAGTGTGTGGGTCGATGCTCCAACCATCGAGCACACAGTCAGGGCTGTGCCTGCTTTTTGACAGGCCACATGGTCCTCCCCAGGAGGGCTCATTCTCAGCCTCCCTGCCCGCTGGCTCAGTCAATATTTGTTGAGTGCTGTGGAATGCCTACCTCTGCATTCCCCACGTCCCACTCAGCTTATCAACAGTTTCAGCCCAGCTTCCGCGCCAGCCTGACTTTTTGTTCTGTGAGACCCCAGGCACAGGTGTGCAGGGAAGAGCCAGGAAGTTCTGGGGGCCAGGAAGTTCAGTTAGGATCCTGCGTCATGACTGGGCTGGGAGACTGGACAAACGACTTGCTGTCTCTGAGCCTGCTTCCTTATTTATAAATTGGGGGCAATAAAAGCTCCTTTCCAGGGTGATTGATGGTTAAGTGAGGTTGGGAATAAACAGAACTTGATGTTGGTAGTTTCTACGTACTTAATGACGGTCCCTTTCCCTATTTCTTTTTTTATTATTATTATTAATTTCTTTACTGATTAAGGTATCACATATTTGTCCACAACCCCCCATTCCAATCATCCTCCTCCCCCCCCCCCCCCAATTCATGCCCCCTCTTTCCCTACTTCTCTTGGAGGGATTTTGTAAAGGGTGTGGTATATCCTCAGGTTTCACTGCTGGGTCAGTGAACTCTTAACCAGCAGCAGATTTAGGATTTAGGGGTGGGGGATAAGGTTCCGGTGACTACCTTTTTGCATCTTGATGGGAGATTGTCTTACCTTTTATGAGTTTGAAGTTTGCAAAAAGATTGAGAACCAGCAGAACCTTGAGACCCTGGGCCCGGCAGTCATTGCAAGTTCTGAGCAGGACAGGGACACAATGGGGACACTGGTTTGAGGAGTCCGGGACTGAGACTTTGGAGAGGCCAACTGGCCAGTGGTCAGAGAAACAGCGGACAGGCAGATGACAGCTGATATTTGTGCTGGCGGAGAAAAGCCTTCGATTGCTCGAATGGACTGGCCAGTGCGGAAGCAAGGACAGCTGGAAATAAGCTGCCACCTGCTTAGACCCCAGACCCACAGGGAAGATTAGGGCTGGCCAGGTGGTTTGGAGCTGTTCTGTTCATGCCTTGTTTGCTGCTGCCTAACCCTGGGCCCTGCCTTCTCCTGGGGGGTGGTCCTTGCAGGTGCCTGGCGCCCCGGTCCCAGAGAGGGGCTTCCAGGGTTTGACAATGTAAGCCAAGCCACCAGCGGGGGGAGCTGGGGAGGCTGCCAGGCTCTGCTCCCTGGACTTGCCTTCCCTCCTATGGGGGGAACCAGCAGATTCCCTAGAAAACAGCCCCTCCTGGAGCGAGTCCAGGGGAGCCCCTTTGCCTTGATCTGGAAACCATTTAATGAGCCCAGATAAGAAGGCCTGGGCAGCCCAGACCTTTCCTTTTGTTTTCTCCCTCCCAACCCTCCAGCTTCCTTGTTATCCAAGTCCCTTTTGGAATCTGGAAGCATGAAAGCCTGTGTGACTCTGGGTTTGGATCTGGCGTCCTCCTAGCTCCCTGTGCCCGGGCTGGAGACCTTGATCTCGCCAGGGAAAAGCCTGCCTGTGTTGTGAGCAGGCCGTGGGCTTCTGGGCGGTTCCTCCGGTGGCGTGGCTGGCTGTTGACCAAGGTTTCTGAGTCCTGCTTTTGGTTCCCTCAGAGCAGCTGTTCTCTGAGCTGCTCGGAGCCCGAGCCTTGGGATAGGAAGCAGTTCTGTGGTTGCTCTGTGCAAAGGCCACAGGACCAGGGGTCCGGAGTTCTTCCTGGGTGACTCCGCACAACCCCCTTGCCTCCAGGAGCTTTTGTTTCCCCATCTGTAAAATGGGATAATAACACGTACCTTCCCAACCTTACAGGGTGATTATGACAAGGATCTTTCCAGATAGCAAACTATATGTGAAAGCATTTTATGAACAATAAAACCACACAGGTGTAGAGGATTATTATTTCATCATCTTTATTTTGCAAATGAGTTTCAAAACAAGTGAACGCAGACACGCTTACGCTCCTCTGGCCCTTAATTGTGAGGGTTGCTTTTGCACACTGGTGCCTCAGAAAGGGAAACACTGATTTCTTTTTTGTTTTGTTTTTTTGTTTGAGCCATTTATTTATTTATTTATTTATTTATTTATTTAAAATAAATCTTTATTGTTCAGATTATTACAGGTGTTTCTCTTTATTCCCCCACATAGCTCTCTGACTTCTTTTCTTCTCGCCTTATTTCTTTGGGCTTTATCATCAAGATGGAATTAAAATGTATTGGCAACATATTGGTGTTTTATTTTCTTTTGGTTGACTCTGAAATAAGAAGACGTTTTTAAAACTGGAAACTTCCACCATGTGTAATTGTAGCCAATTGCCCATTTTTTTGGCTAGTGAGGAACCTGTTTTTGTTGGAAGTTCTCCTAAATTGTGTGGTCATTTCCCTGCCTTTGTAGGCATGGCAGAGTGACCGTAACTGCATCTGTCTTTGAGACTCTTAGTGCTCATCATGTGGCATAATAGTTGTTTATAGATTAGTTGCTTGTGTTATCAATCCTAGAATATACCTTACTATTAATTTCTGACAGCAACCTGATATTACCTTGTTTTCTCAGCAAAATACATCTTTCCTCCAAAAGCAGAAGCAAGGAAATTGTGCAGCCTGGTTATATAGAGTCTTACTGCACTATAATGCTATCTAGCTTGCAAAGATAAGCGGTGCATGTTAGCGATTCTTGTGTGGCTAATGTAGTTATAGCTAACGTTTGTCCTTTTATTCTCTCTTAGGTCCTGGCTGTAAGTCACCATGGCGCAGCAAGCTGCTGATAAGTATCTCTATGTGGATAAAAACTTCATCAATAACCCCTTGGCCCAGGCTGACTGGGCCGCCAAGAAGCTAGTATGGGTGCCTTCTGACAAGAATGGCTTTGAGCCCGCCAGCCTCAAGGAAGAAGTGGGCGATGAGGCCATTGTGGAGCTGGTGGAGAATGGGAAGAAGGTGAAAGTGAACAAGGATGACATCCAGAAGATGAACCCGCCCAAGTTCTCCAAGGTGGAGGACATGGCGGAGCTCACGTGCCTCAATGAAGCCTCCGTGCTGCACAACCTCAAGGAGCGTTACTACTCAGGGCTCATCTATGTGAGTGGGCCCGGCTCGTGGGGGTGGGGGTGGGGCTCTGGGTGTGTTCCCTGCCTCAGATTCTGGGCGCTGGCTCTCTGGGAGAGAAGGGGGCTTGAAGGAAGGCTGGGGTGACTTCCATATCTGAACATCCTAATGGAATGTTCTCATGGCATGACTTTTATCTCTTCTCTACATAGCCAAAACCACAACAGGAAGCCTGGTGAAGGTCTGTGGAGGGAGCATGTGACATGTGTGAGGTGTGCTCACGCACTGGCCTTGGTGGAGATGGGAAGGGCCGGTGTGATCAGTTCCTTCTCAAGGAGGGAAATGTGTGCTCTGGTTTCCCACTTGTTCCTCCTGCACCACCTGGTCCCCTCCTGCCTCCCCCCTCATATCCATCAGTGTGGCTTGCTTCCCTAAGGAGTGTGCTTTGAGCAGGAGGCAGGCTACCAAGAGGCAGGCTTGGATTCCTAGTTTAACCAACTCTTTAGGCTGGTCCCATGCCAGGCCTACAGTGCAGAGAACAGCATGTCCAAAGGCCCACCGCATGCAGAAAACAGGGCGGTCTCTTCTCTTTCCTGTAGCCAGCAGGCTTACATTTGCAGAATGGCAGCTCATCACCCCTGTAGAAAATGTCAAGAGATGAGCATTTCCTCATTCCCTTGGTAACACGCTCCAAGCTCGTATGGTCCTAGGGTGACAAAGAGCTTTCTCAGATCCATCCCAATTTTTTCTGTTCAGTTTAGAGATATTTCCTTCTGTTTTTGTCTCCAGCAGGGAAGAAATATCTGGTTCTTATTATTCCTAAAATAGCTCTTTATTTAATTATGCTCTTGTATTCACCTTGGCCTTCTTGGTCTTGGAGCTGAACAAAACAGTTCTCAACATATTTTTGAACTGGAGGAAGAAAACATTTTGATCATTACAAGCTTCTCATTTTATAGTTGGGAAAACTCAATCTCAGCCCGAGGGGTTTGCCTATGATCATGTGCATCATAAAGGAGACCCTGAGCTCACCCTGTTACAGGGAGGGTGAGAGACTCCCACAGAGCCAGTCATTTTCTTTTCTGTACAATTTCACGGTGACTTCAACACCCGTTTCCCCAGGGCACCACCCTTGCCCCACACGACTGGTACTGCTGAGTGCCCTGCAGTGTGCACGGGCCGTTTAGGATTGCCCAGAAGTCCTGACTTGGGCCAGACTGCGTGCCAGGAGCTGGTCTGTGGTCATGAGGTCCTCATTCCTGTGTTGATGACCACGCTGTGGAGATGAGCTTGATTAGTCAAGGACCTGTCAGTGAGGAGACACACAGAACTGCCTACCTAGAAAAGTCCTGAATAGGCCAACTTAGCCCATCCTTCTTATGTGACAGGTGGGAAGAGGTAAGGCCCAGAAAGGGCAAGGGGCTAGCTCAGGGTCACACAGCGGGGCATTGGCAGGGCTGAGACTGGAACTTTGGTTTCCTGACTCTCCACCCAGTTATTTCTCTGTTTCTTGGTGAGAATATTGTCTGGACCAAATTGAAAAGCCCATGCCCCTAGGGATGTTAACTGCTGAAATTCAGAATTAGTGGTCCAAAAAAGCGAAGGGACTTGAAGGAAGCATCACCTCAAAGTCTCCCTCTGCTCGGTCTTTTACTGGTGTCATGTTCATCTTGTTCAAATGGGGTATTCGTTGTTAAAGTGCAGTCAGTGCTAGTTGCTTCATCTTTCCTCTGAAGTGTGGGTTTGCTCAGTAGGCGGGCAGGGTGGGTAGGACCTGAGCTTTTTTCTCTAGAACTCTCTGGCTGGAGGCACAAATTCTCATTTTTGTTCCTTTGCTGTCACCTCTGTGTGTAGTTCCTCTTGCCTCAGCCCAGCTTCCTCCCCCTAAGTGTTGTCACTAGAAAGGAAGTTGATTGTCGCTGCAGTTGTCCCAATGAAGACCCCGGCAGGTGCAGAACTGTAGCGAGATCAAAGCTACTTGGTGGGGCTGCCTGGGCAGGGGTGGCCATCCCCATCCCCCCGTTCACAGGCCACCTCTCTGCACACGACATTCCGAATTGCGACACCGGGAGCCTTTGTGTGGCATGTTTGCCTGGCCTTGTGGGCGGTGTGGCTAATTCTGCACCACAGCTGCTCTGTCTGTTTCTCCGGGGGGTGAGGCTCTGGGATAGGGGGCGGTCAGGCACAAAGAGCCTCTGTGGCCCGTGAATGGAGCAGCTTCCTGGCGTGGCCCGTGTGGGAGCAAAGCCACTTGCTCAGTGTCTGCGCCTCCACGAGCATCCAGGGAGAGTGGCTTGCAGCCGAGCCTCCTTCCTCCCACCTGAGCTGCTGCGCTCGCTCCCCAGGGCTCAGTGTGATCAAATCCACTGATTTTGTGGAATTAGCCCAGAGAACTTGGAGACCCCGTAGAACTCTCCACAGGACCATCTGCCCACCCAGCTGTCAGAAAGACTTGTCCGAGTAACCCCTAGCCCTGTTGCTGTCACCATCAGCTGTTCCCAAACATCTGGCTCCGTGGCACACCCTAAGGGTGGCCATGTGTCCTTCACTTCCATCGGGCTGGATTTCCTAGAGTGTGGGTTTTCTCAAACCCCAGGGACAAAGCTCAATTGTTTCTGAGCTCCTGAGATGACCTTGCTGCTAGCTTTCTGGCCTCTATCTCATCCCCACCCACTAGACACAGGGAGGGAAAATAGGAGTCCCGGCTGCACTCCTGTCTTCCCATAATACCCAACCCTCCGGTTGCCAGCACCACATTCAGGCCTCTCTGCTTCAGAGCTATCTTGGTCCCTAGTGGCGAGAGTAGTTGGAGAGAAAACAAATGACCGATTATCCCAGGGAAAAAGGAAATTGAGGGCTCTGTGTGCCCTCCAGACAGAAGAGGCAGGCAGACCCGCTTGTTCATGTCCCAACTCAGCTGCTCTTCTGCTTGCAGAACAGTGCATGGTTAGTGGGTCCCGCTGGGGTTCTGCTTTCAATCTAACTTCTGCTTGGAGCATCCAATGCTGTAGCCTTTCGCCAGCGCTGGGTAGAGCCTCTGTACTCACGATTGGTTCCTGTGTGGACCCTGTCTGTGTCTTCAACCACAAGATCCAGCTTCAGTTTTGGTGGGATTCGAGAGGGTAGGGGTGTAAGGGGTTGGGTTGACCCATAGTGCAACCCTCAGATGTTGGCTGCTGTTGGACCAAGGAGCAAAACTGTGGTTAGTGAAAGTGGAGGCCGCTTGTAATGAGAACAACATAAAGATGTGAGGAGCTCAGAAAACGGGCTTCTGTGACCAAGGAGGTCCCTACTGGAGGGTATGAGACTGGGTCTGCTCCCAGCTCTCTCATGAACTGCCTAGGGCTGCAAGTGTGTGTGAGTCATGGTATCTAGGCCTTACTTCACCCGCCTTCTTCCATCCCCATTTTACAGATTGAGACAGGGAGGGAGAAAGAAGTTAAGAAACTTGCCCTTGTTGGGACTTGAACTCAGAACACATGACTCTAGGGTCTAATTTTAACCTGGTCAAGTCAGATTTAGAGCACCGGGTGTATTTGTGGGTGCCTCACATTAAGGCTATTGACTAATTGGATTCCCCTTAACAGAAAATGAGGGTCTTTGAGAAGGCGACGTGAAAGTGATCTAGGTTTTTGAGAGATTTTCATGCGAATGTCTCCAGAAGGTTCCAGAGAGGGCAGTATCTCTGTGATCTACTTGCCCACAAAAGATCTAGTTGGTTGAGGGACGTAGTGAGTTCTTCCCAGTGCTAGGGAAGTTTAGGCTTAACCATCTCTGAGAGGCCTGCAGGGCAGAATCATTTGTGTTTCTACACACTTTGCTTGCTACAGCTGAATCCTTTTCTCTTTGTGCACCTCACAATGACAAACACTTCTCTTTTTGTCCTCAGAACTGAGTTTTGTAGCTGGGTTTCTGCTCTCTGCGAAACGTGCCACAGCTCTTTTCTGATACACACACTCATTGATGTGCAAAGCCTGCAGCAGTCATGCCACTGAGGGAGGACCCTCACCGAAAGAGCAGAGATGGTGCTGGTGTGCCCACATGTGCCCAGAGAGCAAGGGGCCCAGGAGCGCTGTCACTTGGGCCACCACGGCGGCCTCGGAGGCAGCAGATCTTTGTCACAAAGATGGCGCACCACTGCACAGGAGACTTCCTAATCCATTCCTATTTGCTGCTCTTCTCTTTAGACCTATTCAGGCCTGTTCTGTGTGGTCATCAATCCTTATAAGAACTTGCCCATCTACTCTGAAGAGATTGTGGATATGTATAAAGGCAAGAAGAGGCACGAGATGCCCCCTCACATCTACGCCATCACGGACTCCGCCTACAGGAGTATGATGCAAGGTGAGTGCCGTGGCCCACCCCGTGGCTGTCTTCCCCTGCAGCCTTGTTGACACTCTGCAGGTGCTCACTCACTAGTGATGGTGATCTAGTGGCTGGAGTGGTGGCGATGGGGCGGTGTGTTGTGGAGGTCTGTAGGCCATTGTGTGAGAGCCAAGACCAGTGGCTATCAAAGGACATGTCTATATGTTGATAGAAAGTCCTAGAAGCTTTTCCTGCTTTCTCATTCTTGTCAAAAGCTCCTACATCAGTCCTCTCACTTCTGGACCCCTTCTTCTACCAGTTACTCCATTTCCTCCTTGTTTCTCGCCTCTTTCATTTCCTCACAATGTGGACACATGCTTCAGTTTTCCCCATTAAAAACAAAAACCAAAAACAGACAAAATAATTCTTCTGAATTCCAAATCCTACTCTAGCCTTTTTCTACTCTCTCTGTCCCATCACAGCAGAGTTGTTTTTATTTCCCCCCAATTCTCACCTGATGTGTGTGTGTGTGTGTGTACACACATTTAGAGAGAGAGGAGGAAAGGAGAGTGGAACATCAATTGGCTGCCTCCTATACACTCCCCATCAGGGAATGAACTCATAACCTGTGGATGTGTCCTGACCGGGAATTGAACCCTCAACCTTTTGGTGTATGGGACGATGCTCAAACCAACTGAGCCACTTGGCCAGGTCCACAGCAGAGTTATTTAGAGGAAGTATCTGTGATGCCTGGCCCCACCACTTCTCAAGGCTGTCCCACAAAGGTCACCCTCACTTCTGTGTTGGGAAATCCACTGTACTCATGAGTTCTTATTTTACTTACCCTCTCCCCAGCATTGGACAATCTTGACCACTCCTTTTCGAAAGCCTTCCTTCCTGTGACCCTCTCTCTGGTTCCCCTTATCTCTGCCCTCCCCAAATGTGTGGTTCTTTCCTGTTACTCCCTCTTCCCCACACGCTGATGCTCCTCAAGGTCTTGTCAGCTCACTCCCTCCACGTATTTCTCTGGATGATGGTTGCATTCACTCAAGTAGATTCTCCATCACTTTCTGGCTGAGAATGGTCCTATCATCTGATCCCCATGTGCTCCCAGCTGCCATTTCTCCATTCAGCCATTCATCAAAGCCTGAAGCCTGACTCACTTTACCCTCTCTTCTTTCTTTCTCACCTCTTTTCCAAGTCATTCACACTTTCTGTAGATTTTATCTCTTGTCATGTTTCCACCTCCTGTCCACATGGTCCTGGCCTTAGTTCAGACCCCCACAATTTTTTGTCTGCATGATTTCAATGGTTTCTTAACCTTCACTCTTAATAGAGCCCTGTTCCTTGTGTTCCTACCAGAGGGCCGTCTTTCTGAAATACAAATCTGATCATATCTCAACTGGAAATCTTGAAAAATCTTGAAAAGACACCTCATTGCCCCCAGGATTGTACTTAAACCCTCGAGCAGCACACAGTGCCCTCTGTGATTGGCCTCCTGCCACCTCGCCAGCTTCCCAGCTACTTGGAACTCCTTTTTCAAGCCGCCTTACCCGCTCCCTGTGCCCACAATGCCTGGCAAGTCCCTGCTCTTTTGTTAAAGACACGACTGAAGCATTGCTGCCCTTCAGGGAGGCTATCTGGGCTAGACTTGCATAAGAGCCCTGGTCCTACTTTATTTGAATTACATGTTTACATATTTGTTTTTCTCTCGTAGACATGGGCAGGACTCACCTTGCCTTTTGATTCTCAGAGCTTAGCCAGGCACCTGGCATACGGTGCATTTATTGTAATTTGGAGTCAAGCCCAACTTTCAGGCAGGCTATAGTCTCATATCTTATATATATTTTTTTCTCTTTCATGTCCAATTACATGTGCATCCTTTATTCCTTTAAACTTTGTAATTAATCTAGGCAGTGACAGTAGTGAATTTTGTTATGTTCACAACTTTGTCCCTGGTTTAGTGGTTTAAGATGGCAGCATGTGGGTCTGTCCGTACTATACCATAGTGCTGTGGGGGTGTTTCATTGCCAGGCTTTATGAATTATGGATGATGAACAAGTTTGGCCTAGCCTTTGGCTTACGTTCACGTCTATCAAAAATTCTTCAAGGAAGCCAGCCCTTTAGCTTTAAGGTAATATGTCTGTTTCAAAGAGCTAACTACAGCAGTCTGGTGGAAGAAAAGTCTGTGAGATTCCTAAAGAGCCAAGTCCTGTCTCAGGAGGTTATGAGTCAGTTTTCTCCTGGCTCTTTTAATTGACCAAGTGTAAGAATTGCATCCTGGAGTCTTTTGAGCTCTTTGCTACCGAATCAGGAGCACTCTCACACCTGGATGCTGGACTTGAACCATGTCCAGCGAGTGGGGATTTCTTCCTTCTTAGACTGGCTGTTAAGAATAATGTAACAGCCAAAACCGGTTTGGCTCAGTGGTAAAGCGTTGGTCTGCGGACTGAAGGGTCCCGGGTTTGATTCCGGTCAAGGGCATGTACGTTGGTTGCAGGCACATCCCTGGTAGGGGTTATGCAAGAGGCAGCTGGTCGATGTTTCTCTCTCATTGACATTTCTAGCTCTCTATCTCTCTCCCTTCCTCTTGTAAAAAAAAAAAAATCAATTAAAGAAAAAAAGAATAATGTAACAATGCAGAACATGGCACCAGGCGTTGGCATTCTTAGAACTGGACTTCCCGACAACCTGTGGAATTGCTTCCCAAAGAGATTTATTCATGGTTTATTTATTCAACAACAGCAAAAAATGGAGGGGCACAAGTCAGCTCTACAAGTTGGAGATAATTCTAAAAAATAAAGAGACTATGCAGGGAGCTGGAAGCTTCCTTTGTGCCGACCAGGAAGTCTTGACCATAATGGAAATGGCCTTCACAGGAACCAAGGAACTGTCCCAAATTATGAAGGCCAGTGCGTGCGTGGTTTCATCTTGTGGAGACCCGAGTTGGGAAATTTATTTGTGGGCACAGGGAACTGAGGCCCCGGTCTTCTTTTTAATCGTGTGTGCAGGTGCTGGGTCCACATGCTGTCTAACCCTCAATCTGAGAGGTTTTCACTACCTTCAGGTAAATCTTGGACTTGCGGTAGTTCTTAAGCTCCCATGTTGACTGACTGAGGACATTTCCAAGTTCCTCTTGTTGTTCACAGTTGACCTGCAAACATATTAGCAATAGGTCTCTTGTTCTTGGGGCGAGGAGGAAGTTAACTAACAGCAGTTGACCCTGTTATGACAAGATGGTTCAGTAGTAAAGAAACTTCCTGAGGATAGCTGTGGGTTCTCACCCTAGGTCGGGCGTCAGCAGGGAGCGGCGGGGTCAGCGGGCTGTTAGAATGAGCACCACTCTTTTGGAGAGCACGTCTTAGCACAGGCTGCCCCCCTGGCTTTGGGGGAGGACAGGTTTGTTCTCTGCCACTCACAAAAGGCACAGCTAGACAGTTCCTTTTCTGCTTTTTCTTTACACAAGAACTAGAAAAAGATTTCCCCTCTGCTGGTTGTGGCTTATGACATACTAGCATTTATTCTGGCAAATAGGGTAGTTGGTGGCTTTGTCTGGAGACTTTTATGAGATTAGCTGTTTGACCTTTCCAAGGGACCTCCCTGTGCCTTTCATCTCTTACATTCTCTGGTTTGCCTTTAGGCCTTGATTTGTGCTTGTTGTCCTGGAGTTAGTATTAATATATCGCTCCCTTTCACTCTCAGAAACATGTCAGTTTAGATCATAAATTATATGGCTTCTCTGCTTGAGTCAGGATTTCTCAAACTTGGCATACTTGTCATTTGGGATCAGATAATTCTCTCTCTCTCTCTTTTTTTTTTTTTTTGGTGGGGGGGGTACTTGTTCTGTACATTGTAGGCTGTTTAGCACCATCTTGGCCTCTATCCACTATATGCCAGTACCACACTCCCTCTCCATTTGTGACACCAAAAATGACCCCAGATGTTGCTACCAAATGTTCTTGGGGGGCAAAATCGCCCCCACTGGAGAACCATTGGACTAATAAGCTTTGCGGATTGGTTTTACTCGAGTGTCAACCCCTATCAATGGGTAGTGGTTTGCCTGGCCCTCTGTTGGCAAGGAGCTAAGATTCAATGCCAGGTAAAGCTGGGATAGATGAGTGCTATCTGCTGTGGGCACGGGATGGGGCATGGCAGCATATGGTGTCCTGCATTAGGCCATGCAGATAAGAGATAGAAAGTACTAGATTCTAGTAACTAGAATATCAAGAGGTTTAGTACCTTATCCTGGCCCTGGAGGCCCTGGTAGTCTAAGTGGAGAGACAGCTGTGTTTGGACACAGAGATGTGTGGCTGTAGCTGTACAACAAGACAAGTTGCTACCTACACCTGGTGCCAACACAACTGCAGCAGGTGTCTTGAGAGCTCAGAGGAACGTGTGGGCGCTGAGGCCTGGGGTGGCCGGAAAGGCACCGCGGTGGTCGGATCCTGTGGGCAGGCTGGCAGGTGTGTCGGAGTGGTTCTAGTGCAGCCCAGACGTGCCCGGCACAGTTTTGTTTGTTCTTTTAATCCTCAGCCTTGGGCTTAATTAAAGTTGTGGTAACATAGTTGGTTCATTTGTTGTCATGGCCGTGGATAGGTCTTCCTGTCTTGGAGATTAAACCGATTGAACTGATCCTTAGGATTCTGTAAAGTGCGAGCTGTCTGAGCCCGTGAGGGGAAGCGGGGTGAGAGGGCATACACTCTGTGTGGCTGCCCTTGCTGGGCAGACATCAGCCCTAGGGGGGAATAGGGACTCGTCAGGGGCAGGTACCAGGGGCTGCCAGGGGATTGGACAGAAGCAGAAGTGTCTGCAAAGGTGTGGCTGGGTTGGGAACTGGTGCTGCTGGCTTTCTTTGGGGCCAGACCTTGGGGTCTCCCTCTGAGGATGAGTCTATGTTCTCACAGAACATGCTAGTTAAAGAATTGGACCGGAGCCCAATTGTCTCCCCATTAAGAGCGGGGTAAAACACCCTCTTCTGTGCTAATTAGCTAGAAAGCTGCTCACCTCCAGTGGCTTTTTGGTATTTTAATGAGCTCCCA